CCGCTTCCCTGCTCCGATCCTCCAGCGATAGGCAGAGCCAGCTGTCAATCACGCAGCTGGGTGGATTTCCACAGTAATGTTAGGATCCGTCACGGCTGCGGCGTCTTAGTATACCGCGAGCTGTAGCTCCCTATATACTGAGCTTTGGGTGACGGGAGGACGCTAGTTTGGGTCCTCCCGTTACCCTAAGGAGAACTATGGGGAAAAGCCCTGACCCCATAGTTCTCCTTTAACTGAAAAAACTGAAGATAGAAGCTGATTGGATGCCGTGCACAGGTACTTTGGACTCTGGAGGCAACCACAATTGTTACAGGAAAAAAGCTAGACAGGGAAGATTTCGCACAGAAACGCTTCCGAATTTCTGATGAAACAACTTACAAAGGCAAACAGCTTTTAAGCGGACAATAAAAATGCAGTAAAAATCTTACCTGTGGCTTGACAGAAAACGAAGTACGATATAATATAAAACGAAGTACCAGTCGTCACTATGGTCTGGACTTGCCATAACTTTTTATTCCTGTATAAAAGGAAATAAATCGGCCATCAGATATACGCCAAAAGAAAAAAAACACACATGCATCGTGCACTACCACCTCCACTCTGCATCAAATGGGGGTACACCATGACTTCAAAAAAATTGAGCAAAGCCGATATAAAATAAAACATAACCGCATATTAATAACGTCACAAAAGCCAAAAGAGAAATTAGCTGTCAGCTTCATGTCAGCATTCAGATCCGCTTCTATCAGGTTACACAGCAGGGAAATCCTCCCCGCTGTGTAACCTGTCATGGACGGAGCGCTGCTTCGTTCGGCGGGGCTTCGTCCGTCAGGGGGTGGGGCTTCAGTTGGTTGGGGGGCGGTGTCTTCGGCCGGACGGGGCGGGACGTGCTGGGGAGTGCCTCACCTGGAACAAGAGATACGTCACTACTCTATTGGACAAACCTCGTCCCTCCCCCTGATACTTTCATTTTCATATCTTGTTTCCTCAACACTTTATTCCTGCAGAATCTGGCAGGAGATGAGAACATGAAGTCATTTCTCCTCCATTGGTATTTTCTTCACAATCTGGTTTTCTCTACATAGGACACTCTATTGCAGGGACATGCGGTCAGGGGAGGCAGGTGGGGCAGAGCCTCACCTAGAATTATGGAGGAAAAAGCTGTCAGCTTCAAGTCTGAAGCTGTCAGCTTTTTCTCCATTCAGATCGGCATCTAACAGGTTGCACAGCGGGGAAATCCTCCTCGCTGTGTGACCTGTGATGGACGGAGCGCTGCTTCGTTCGGCGGGGCTTCGTCCGTCAGGGGGTGGGTCTTCGGCCGGCGGGGGCCGGACGTGCTGGGGAGTGCCTCACCCGGAACAAGAGATACCCCACGTCACTGCTCTATTGGACAAACCTCGTCCCTCCCCCTGATACTGTATAAGCATTTTGCAACAAAGGTTTTGGACTGAGACCCCATTCGCACTGAGCTACAACAAAATAATAGGGCTGGTAATGATTAACATTTTCGTGTTCGATTAATCGAATTTTTTTTTTTAATCGATTCATTTCGATTAATTATAACGCACATACAGATCCAACTACATTGGCCTATACACGTACAGCACAGCAATGACGTAATAAAATGAACTAGGATCACACTAATCCAGCACGTTATTCATCTCACGAGCCCCACTCAAAATTAGCTACAAAATAAGTGCTTTTTCAGTGCTGATTTGAGCTGATCGACTTTGAGCGACAGTGCACATTTTGTCACGCTACGTAGCGCTTCTTTTGGCGGCCTATCAAAGTCTACTGGGGCCAAATCGCTCGAAATCCGCAGAAAAATAGCTCAGATTCGAGCGACAATCTTCAGCTGCAAGCGACAGGCGACATCGAGCTGCAAGATGTCAACATCTCCATTGAAATGCATTGGAAGAGCTACACTGAGCTTTATATTTGAGCGATTTTTGAGCGGAAATGGCGCTGCAAAACGCTCAGTGTGAACGGGGTCTGAAGTGTCACCTGTAATTGATGAAGCCTAGAGCCAAGGATTAGTCCCGCTGTCACTTCTGTTACTTTATCATTGAAGGGTAATGATGAGACAGATCCATATACATATCCATAATACAGTGATTACAATGATATGTTCCCTAATGCGGTTCCATTGTTCATATCACACCCGGTCTCTGTCTACATGGAGGTTGTATGTTCTCCCTATATGTGCAGATCTCCTTCACTCACTCCATGGGAGGTTGACTGGCTTTCAGAAGGGATCAGTGGGATACACAACATCACATTCTTAGGAAGTTTGGGCACTTATATAAAACTATATGGGCCTGTCAATCAAACCATCCTCCCACGGGTCATCCCACTACGCTATGAATTGAGTACACAATGGGCGGGTCAGTCTGGGACCGGCTTCCTCCCATTACACTATGAATAAACTATGCAGTGGGTGGGGTTATATATACAGTGAGTGGGGTATGTAAAAAATGGGACACGGGACCTCCCACTACACTGAAACACAGAAAGGCGTACACAATGTTTGGATCACACTGGGACCCAGGTCCCCCAATTACACTACAAATGAACTACATTGTGGGCAGTGTCAAAATACACAGTGGGTGGCACTAATTACGCAGTGGGGGTGTAAGTACGCAGTGGGCGGGTCACACCAGGATATGGGCCTTCCCACTACACTATGAATGAGCTACAGAGTCGGTGGGTCAGACCACAGTGGGTGGGATTAAGTGCATCATGGGCAGGTCAGACTGGGACATGGGTTCTTCCACTACGAATGAACTGCACGGTGGGCAGGCTTATGTACACAGTAGGTGGGTCAGACCACAGTGGGAGGGGACTAAGTACACCATGGGTGGGTTAGATCAGGACAAGGGTCCTCCCACTTAACTATGAATAGACTATACAGTGGGTAGGTCAGACCGCTGTAGGCGGGTCAGACCAGGACATGGGTCCTCCCACTTAACTATGAATAGACTATAAAGTGGGTAGGTCAGACCGCTGTAGGCGGGTCAGACCAGGCCATGGGTCCTCCCACTTAACTATGAATAGACTATACAGTGGGTAGGTCAGACCGCTGTGGTTGGGTTAGATCAGGACAAGGGTCCTCCCACTTAACTATGAATAGACTATACAGTGGGTAGGTCAGACCGCTGTAGGCGGGTCAGACCAGGACATGGGTCCTCCCACTTAACTATGAATAGACTATAAAGTGGGTAGGTCAGACCGCTGTAGGCGGGTCAGACCAGGCCATGGGTCCTCCCACTTAACTATGAATAGACTATACAGTGGGTAGGTCAGACCGCTGTAGGCGGGTCAGACCAGGACATGGGTCCTCCCACTTAACTATGATGAGACTATACGGTGCATACGTCAGACCGCTGTGGGCGGGTCAGACCGGGACATGGGTCATCCCACTACACTATGAATAAACTATACAGTGGGTAGGTCAGACCACTGTGGGCCGGTCAGACCGAGAAATGGGTCCTCCCACTACACTATGAATAGAATATACAGTGGGTGGGTCAGACCGCTGTGGGCGGGTCATACGCAGACATAGGTCCTCCCACTACACTATGAATAGACTATACAGTGAGTAGATCAGACCAGGACATGGGTCCTCCCACTTAACTATTAATAGACTATACAGTGGGTAGGTCAGACCGCTGTGGGCGGGTCAGGCCGGGACATGGGTCCTCCCATTACACTATGAATGAACTATACAGCGGGTATGGTCGCACTGGGACTCAGGTACTCCCACTACACTGAACAAGGACAGCAGCGACCAACCTTATTAAACAGAAATAAAGGGGGGTGACCCTTTATCATGTAGCGGTAACATTGGGATATCTCCTGGGTGGATGATTGCATTGAGGAAAAAGAAAAAAACTAATTTTTTTTGGAGAGGGGCAGCTCTGATGTTAATACGAGCGATTAAAAACCAACTCCCAATGCTTACAGTCTGGGGAGATTTCCCATCACTTCCTGTTATGTCTAAAAAGTCATCGCTGTCTGCACACTTCTGTTCTGGAGAGAACCGCACCCCAATTTCCTGTACAGCTGTCCCCGAGACAGGAAGTGAACGGAAACTTCCCCTAGACTGACCGATATCAAATGAGATGTTATGAACTTTATTATCTATCTGAGTGTATGGGATGTTGTATTAAAGGGGGAATTGGCCTTTAACACACATGGACCTGAAAGGTTCACCTGCAGTGAATGTTTGCTGAATATCAGATACACCTCTTTACTTCTCCTTCTGTGGAAAGCTCACCAGTGTTCATATTTACACAAGCGGTAGAGATTGTTTATGTATTATTTCCTTTCTATGGAACAATATTTGGCATTCTAGGTACACAAAGGTTTGTCTTATTTACTAACATTCACTCTGGTATGTAAACAAGGCCCATAACAGGCCTCACATAGCCTACAACCACCAGAGACATGTATATGGAGGTTGCAAATGCATGCATATGGTGTATATGCATGCATATGATGTATATGCATGATAATAGGGTTTCTGCTGAATTATTCCAGTGCAATAATGTAAATATAATACAATTACCTTCTTCCAGTATCACTTTACAAGTGTCTTACATTACAGGGGACATAAAGAGACATTTGGGGTGCACAAGGTGGCGTGACTGCTCTATGACGCACAGGCTAATGTGGGGCCCCGGACGTGCACAAACACAGGTACTGTGGGGTCCCTCGGTGACAGGGACACATACATGGAATGGGTTGAGTCCTCGGTGACAGGGACACAGCGGTCCCCTCTTCATGTCATCTCCTCAGCCATCTGAGGAGGTCTGACTGAATTCCCGCCCGCCAACTCAGCCCACCACAGCTGGCCACTCCCTCCCGCCAGCGCAGCCAATAGCTGCCCGCCCCAGACTCTTCATTTACATCCCGGCCTTCATTGGTTGAGCCGTGATTTTTTTTGCCGGGAGTTAATACCGCGCTCTGAGAGGCGAAAAAGTGATGACGTACCCGGTGTCTGTCGAGTAATCACTTCCGGGGCTGACATGGCGACTGTCAGAGATCGGAAGGGAGGCAGGGGAGAGCAGGATGGGACGGGGGATTTGTACTCGGTGTTGCTTCCCACCTATAACGAGAGGGAAAACCTACCTATCATCCTATGGCTGCTGGTCAAGTACTTCGGAGAGAGGTGACTTCCTGTGAACGAGCACCTGTCTATTGTACCAGTCCTGCGCATCCCTATATATCCCTATGGATGATATATCTTTCCATCACATGAGCTGTACATTGTATGTTCCAAGTGTCATGAGAAAACCTTACTTCCCTTTAAACCTGTCACGTGACCTGGTAATGTGCCCCTAGGGCTTTCACATGACCTGTACACAGCGCGGGCATGCCTTTTGTTTACATCTTTAAAGAGAACCTGTCCCCTGTACTAGTATTATCATAGGCTCTATTTGAATGAGGGGTTACATGAGAATGATGGCGCATCGCCCAATAACGCATCCTGTGTGAATGGGGCCTAGTTTCAGGATCGTATTATAATCCTGGCATGACATCTATTAAAGTCTGTGCTTCAATCTCCTTGTTGTCTATTCTCATTTAAATATAAAATAGCTTTGTGGTCACATGTCTTTTCTCATGTAGGTCTTGCAGTGACTTATGGGATTTGTAGTTCCATAGTGCTGAAGTTGCCTCCCCTTTTGTCTATATTTATCTGACCGCTGAGCCTGTACCGTGTATTCTATAACACAGTGCTGCAGCTCTTGTTTCCATCCAGACTTTTATTGCTTAGTAAATGAAACCCATTTTGTCTCTTCAGTGGATATAAATATGAGATCATCATCATAGACGATGGAAGCCCGGATGGGACATTGGAGGTAGCGAAGCAGCTGCAGAAGATCTATGGGGCAGACAAGATAGTGAGTGTTCTCGTACTGATCCCATGTCATGTCTTCTTATACACATCTGACTCTCTGTGAGGGTAATACTATAGTGTGCCTGGTGGGCTTCTCCTTATGAAAGGCACAAGACTGGGGGGAGAAAGGGGGTGGACCAGGAAAGGCAAAATATAATCAGATTAGGCTTCATCTTTAAGGTTCTTGTGGACAGTTTCCCATTTCTATACAGAGTAGGGAGTCTTGTCTTCATTTATAAAACTCCTCCTTGTAGTAAAGTGTGTCATCATTCTGTCTTTTTCTCATAGTTACTCCGACCCAGGGAAAAGAAACTGGGACTAGGTAAGTCTTTGTATTCATAGCCAAACCCAGGGACCGGGGGCAGTCTGGGACAGCCGGGGACCGGGGGCAGTCTGGGACAGCCAGGGACCGGGGGGCAGTCTGGGACCGGGGGCAAGTCTGGGACAGCCGGGGACCTGGGACGGCCAGCCACAGTTGGCTATGATTTGTGTTGGGTCTGTAGATGTGGAATTCACTTTCTCCTCTTGGATGTGTTGAGTAGTTGTGTGTTTTGTGTTCTGCAGGAACAGCCTATATACACGGCATGCAGCACGCTTCTGGAAACTTCATCATCATCATGGACGCAGATCTCTCCCACCACGTATGTGTCTGCAGTATGTTAGCACTACTGAACACCTCTGTTTCGTCTCCCCTCCTTACCATGGTGGGAGGTATTTTGTAGGCCAAGGAAGAGAAGTGAGCAGGGCTGATAATAGTGCTTGAGATTACAGCGTAGACTGCACAGAATTTTTGGCAGGATCAAAAGTTATTTTTTTGCACTTGAACAGATCTAACAAAACTTACAGATATAATAAAAAAAATTACATGACAGTCTATACCCTACTGACTCCCTGACGGGTGCTGGATTGAACTTGGCACAGGGATGGTGGGAGCCCCTCATAATGGGCACAGCAGGTGTGGAGACCCGGGAGCTCAGCACAGGGATGGTGGGAGCTCCTCATAATGGGCACAGCAGGTGTGGAGACCCGGGAGCTCAGCACAGGGATGGTGGGAGCCCCTCATAATGGGCACAGCGGGAGTACAGACCCGGGAACTCAGCACAGGGATGGTGGGAGCTCCTCATAATGGGCACAGCGGGAGTACAGACCCGGGAACTCAGCACAGGGATGGTGGGAGCTCCTCATAATGGGCACAGCGGGAGTACAGACCCGGGAACTCAGCACAGGGATGGTGGGAGCTCCTCATAATGGGCACAGCGGGAGTACAGACCCGGGAACTCAGCACAGGGATGGTGGGAGCTCCTCATAATGGGCACAGCGGGAGTACAGACCCGGGAACTCAGCACAGGGATGGTGGGAGCTCCTCATAATGGGCACAGCGGGAGTACAGACCCGGGAACTCAGCACAGGGATGGTGGGAGCTCCTCATAATGGGCACAGCGGGAGTACAGACCCGGGAACTCAGCACAGGGATGGTGGGAGCTCCTCATAATGGGCACAGCGGGAGTACAGACCCGGGAACTCAGCACAGGGATGGTGGGAGCTCCTCATAATGGGCACAGCGGGAGTACAGACCCGGGAACTCAGCACAGGGATGGTGGGAGCTCCTCATAATGGGCACAGCAGGTGTACAGACCCGGAAACTCAGCACAGGGATGGTGGGGGGCCCTCATTATGGGTACAGCATGTGTACAGACCCTCAGCACAGGGATGGTGGGAGCCTTGCTGGGAGGGTGGGATCTATCAGAATGCATTGTCTTGTCATTCTACCCTCAATGTTTCTTTAGTTTATTGGCTATAATAAGGTGCATTGCCAAACTTTCTTCTTTTTTTGTGCTTATTTTGTAGCCTAAATTCATCCCAGAGTTTATAAAGTGAGTATTCTTCTCTTTTGGGGGGGTTTATATTGATTACTAGCCACAGTGTTCCTATGCATGCAAGTGTATATGAGATTAAGCTGTGTCTGCAGGATTGTAGATGTGTGGAAACGTTAGTCCTCCTGTCAGGTTTGTATTGCTGTCTGCTGCAGTGGGCAAAGTTAACCCTCTCTCTGTCCTGGTGAATAATGTCACAGTGGTGCAAGGGGCTGGGAACTCCTATATTGTACACTTGGAACAGGAGCTGAGGGAAATCTTCCAGTGGGGACACCAGTGACAGAAGTCTAAGAGGGCATATGGCCTCACTTTGCAGTGATTTCCTCTCCCTTCCTGCTGTGTCTCTGGCCCAAGAATTGAAGGGTAACCTCTCCATTGGGACACAGAGGAAGAAAGAAAAATTCCTGACGGCTTTTTACTTTTTCCTATTCAAAACAAAGTTGTTTTTTGGATTTAATTAGCTGAATTCTGGCACAAAAACATTAACTTAAATTTAATTCCCTATATCCACCAAGGATATAAATCCCCTACCTTTTAATGGCAGTGGTGGCATAATCACTGTGCTGTACATAGCATGTAGAGAGAGCAGAGTTGTGGGAGGGACCCAGCAGGCCCCACCCTCTACAGGAGGGGGCGGAGACGAGACCAGTCATCCTGTGCAAGGAGAGAGAGCAGCAGTGAGCGGTTATTACAGGAGGGGAGGAGACAAGACCAGTCACCCTGTGCAAGGAGAGAGAGCAGCAGTGAGCGGTTATTACAGGAGGGGAGGAGACCAGACCAGTCACCCTGTGCAAGGAGAGAGAGCAGCAGTGAGCGGTTATTACAGGAGGGGAGGAGACCAGACCAGTCACCCTGTGCAAGGAGAGAGAGCAGCAGTGAGCGGTTATTACAGGAGGGGAGGAGACCAGACCAGTCACCCTGTGCAAGGAGAGAGAGCAGCAGTGAGCGGTTATTACAGGAGGGGAGGAGACCAGACCAGTCACCCTGTGCAAGGAGAGAGAGCAGCAGTGACTGGTCTTTATTACAGGAAGCTCCAATTCTCACACTGGATTACTGCACAGATCTGGAAAAAAAAATGCAAAGCTCACCGAGATTAAGGAAGAATACAAAGGACTCTTGTACTCCGGGATCAGCAAATATTGTCCTCATACAGCTTTTAATGTTTATGGAAAGGGGGAAAACGAGCAATGTACTTTGGAGCTGGGAATCACAAGATCTATTTCTACAGTGATGTACATGAAATTGTACCTTAAATATTTCTTCATTTCCTCTGTTGTATTTGGATTGGTGGCAGGCCAGTAGATGTAATTCTATATATATAGTTCTCGCATCTCTCTCAAGAAACCTGATTTTTCCTTTTCTCAGTAAACAGAAAGAAGGGGACTTTGACGTTGTGTCTGGCACTCGCTACATTGGGAACGGCGGTGTGTATGGCTGGGATTTAAAAAGGAAGGTGATCAGGTTTGTACTTTCTTTTATAAATGGCCCCGTGATTGTTCCTTGGCCCTCAGGCTTTTCCTTGAAGCTGAAGTTCAATCTGCTCATGTTTTGTCATTGCTGCTTCATCAACATTCTAATGACATTTTTGAATAAAACATCTGTTTTTATAACCAGCGATGTCACCACCTGGTCTATATGCAATGCAGGCAGATCATAGGAGGTGGGAGGGGCCGGCAGGGTGCTGTACAAAGCTTCCTGAAAACATCACAGCACCCTGTCTCAGTACTCCTCCCAAGAGCCTTCAGCCCTGATCAGTGGGATGTCTCCTAGGAGGAGTTATGCAAATATCAAAATGCTTTAATGTGGGGGGGGGTTTCAACCTGGAGGAGTGGGAGTTCCGAGTTAGGTTGCATTTTTATGCCGACCACCCTAGGTTACACCCACATGTGATGCTGAGCCTCCATGATTGAAAGAACTGAAATCCATTGAATGAAAGGGGCGGGGCCAGGGACAGTCAGTTAGGTGCTGCTGGACATCCTCCAACCAGGAAATAAGGCAGGCTCTATCTGACTGGCTGCAGCTTCTAATGCACATTGTGAGGAGCTCCCAGTGTGCAGTGATATCAGAGGAAGCCATTTCAGTCCAGGAGAGGAGCCGGTACAACTGTGCCAGACTGAGGGAAGGGACTAGCGTGTGGGAATCCTGTGTTCCTCCTCCAGTCTAAAGCTGGCCATACACCTGTCAATTACTTTCATTCAACCCGCGGGCTGAACGGAAGAAATTGATGCAATTCTTCCAAGACCAACAGCGTGTTGATCGATGAATCGGCGCTGTTTGCATTGTATTCTGACAGGTTCCATCGGCACCTGTCAGAATTCCCAATCTGAGTGGGCAGCTCATTGACTGCCGGCTCTGATCATACAAAGATTTTCCAGCTGGCTCCTTCGGTCAGCTGATCGAGGAATGCCGACTGAAAGGGAGCAGACAGCCCCATGCAGTGGCTGAGATGGGCACCTGCTCGCAAGGATTTTCCTGCTCGCATCCCAATCTGATCCCCGTGTCTGGGATGAGCATTGCCATTGATGGCATCTATTGTGGTATTGGAACAAGTGAGGTGGCTCTCCAACAGTGGACACAGTAATAAAATAATTACCGTAGTGTGGGGATGGGTGTCATCCACTGCAATGTATTTCTTTACTTCCTGTCTTGTCACTGGGACAGGAAATGCATGGACGTCTTCCAAAAGGGGCACAGAATGCATTAAAAACCTTGTAAAGTTGAAAGAAAAAAAGTGAGGTGCCGCATCTGTAAAGCAGCAGGTGTTCTCGGTCTTAAGCGATATTGAGGGAATGATTCTCATTAGGCAGCTCTCCTAAAAATGGTGGCTGAGCGTCAGCTCTTTGCTCGAGTAGGGACTGGGTGTGCAACAATGAAAGCGCCAAGTACAGTATATATAAATTCAGATTCCATTTTTATTCAGACTCTATCATAAAAAAGCCAATGTGTTTTGAGGTTCAAAGGGTCCCCCTTCATCAGGGCTTAGTACTGCAGTATGTCTGCTGTCTCTGACCATTTCCTGTAGTATGTCTGCAGTCTCTGACAGTCAGCTGTAGTAATACATTAACTAAAATTATGTGCAGACCTTGATGCTTTCACTGGCCATGCTTGAGGCCCCTTTATATGAAGAAAGTCGACCAGCGACCTGATGTAGCCCTTCATATGTGTGGGCAAACCTACTGTCTGACAATGTTGGTATCAAGAGTCTAACTCTATGACAGGGGGCAGATGTTGGATTATCCGAACCAAGTTTTTGTGAGGGTCGGTATATTTAATTGTTATAACATGTCCTCACCTTTATGCCTGCATGGTTGTGACATGAGGTCAGGCTATTGGGTTCTGTGATTACTGGTGACACTAACCTGCTCTGTATTTTGCTTTCTTACATAGCCGAGGAGCAAACTTTCTGAGTCAGGTCTTGCTGCGCCCCGGAGCCTCTGACTTAACCGGAAGTTTCAGGTGAGTCAAATCATTTTCTTGCGGATTAATTGGTAATTTAGCATAACACATTCTACATACACAAGGGAATGGAGTTGCAATTACTTATACTTATTAATTACCGCTCCTGGGTTTCCATAAACAATAAATAAAGTATTGGTTCCCTCAAACACAAGGAAATCCCACAGTGGAGCTGGATATTTGATAATAATTATTGTATCAACATAATAGTTATATCACAAACGTTTAATATTCTAGAAAAATTAAACAAACCACACAGTGCTGACATTTAAAATTCTAATTGCTTCCCTGCAATGGCTCGATTGAAAACACTAAATTTAGCATAACACTAGCTCAGAGATGAGAGGAAGTTATGGTTCTGCTATATATCTCTCTTCCTGGAGTGCACCTTTAATTAAAATGAGCAAGGATGCTATTTTACTTGTATCAATTCAGTAAGTGGGGGAGGGGGGGTTCTGCATTCGCTATAATTAGCTGATGCTTTGCGGATAAGAAAAGCTGCAGGCCTTGTATGATTGGGTACTAGGGGGAAGATAATTTATTTTGTATTTTTCCGTAAAAGGAAAGAGAATTTTGACATTTGAATTTCTGGGCGGTTTTAGACCCGCTGCTATAACTGGAATGTTATCTTCAATAATTAAGTTACAGCATTGCTTCTATTGCTGAAAGTGAAGCTTTCCTTTTAATAAGTGTCAAATAAAAACCACTTGTGATCGATTTTTGTCTGGTGTGTAACTTAAAAGGAAAAGGATGGGACGTTTTTTGGGGTGGCGCCCAACTGACATCCAATTGGTTCTCAGGGCTGGGGTCAGTAAGGCTCACCCTCGCATCCATGCTGAGGAATAATGGCGATGTTGGTCACTGGGTCCCATACACCGCATCTGGTGGTCCATAGGTGACTCCAAAAGAAGAAAAATGGCCTCCAGATTCCACAGTGCAACCATTATTTTGAAGAATTAAGCATCGCAGAGCAGGGAGACTTTAAAGCCCAATTTTAGCCCAAACTTTGGAGTTTTAGGCAGATTGAGGAAAGCTTAGAACCTCTGCCAGGAGTTTATTGCTGCCGAGTTCCTGCCTATTTGGTGGGTGTTAGAATAAGAAATGGGGGGGGGGGGCTCGCACGCAACCTCCCACATGGGTTATAGACACCAACAGAAACATTTTATTTAGTAGAGGAAGGGTTTCTATACTGCTGGGTTTCCATAGGGAAAATTTCCCCTCGCTTCCTGTCCAGGGCACAGGTGGTGCACAGAACAGGAAGTGAAGGAACCTGTCTAACGGGCACTGTTGCACTGCAAGACAAAATATGACCCATGGAATGTAAGCCTTCGGATTTGATGTCCTATAATCTCCTCATTCGTATTACTGGAAAATGGTGAACAGAACTGTAGCTGAAGGCAGCGTTTAGCATTACCTGTCTCTTTCCATCACCCAGGTTGTACAAGAAATCCGTCCTGCAGAAACTGGTGGAGAACTGCGTGTCCAAGGGCTATGTCTTCCAGATGGAGATGATCGTCCGAGCCCGCCAGTTTAATTACACCATCGGAGAGGTAAAATGACCATTCCTGATCAATAGCTAGTGACTGAAGAATTAGGACTGAATGGGTAGACTCAGTTCATTACATTCATCAACTGTTCCATCTATTTTGCAGGGCCTGCATAAAAGGAAAAAAAAAAGTGTAGTTTGGAAGGTTTTAATCAAAGTTATGTTTCTACAAAAACCCAGCAGCCCCCTAACCTGACCTAGACACCCCGACCGAGTTGCTTATTTACCTCTCCATAAGATCAGTTCCCTCTAGTGTTAGGTGACGGATGTCCAAAGGGTTAAATAGAGCCGTACCACTATTATCTCTAGTGTAGGGGTACTGTTCCTTTTAAGTCCATGGGGGTATACTATGCAAGGGAGGGGGCTTCCACTGTCAAGGAGACATAAGTAAGCAGTGGAGTGAGTGTCTGGGTTATGGTAGAGGACGGGGCTGGGTAGGCTGGGCTGGTGGTACTAACTTGCCCTATAACTGTTGTAGTTCCAGTTGAATGAAGCCATCAACCAGCTAAAACACTTTTTCATAAAACGGGGACAGGTCAGAACCTCTGTCAGGTTTTTATTGCTGTCTGTGCCTCCACTGGGGATGATGGACCTCATTACCTGTCACACAGGTAGACTGTGATAGGGCGATACAAATACAGGAAGTGAAGGGAAATCCTCTCATAGATTAAGATCTAGAAGATGATCCCGCCCGCAATGTTGCAGTATTGGTCCAGCTCGGCTCCTGTGCCGTACTTTGTATGGCCTGCAGGTGGCAGCAGTCGGATCATAAATCATGTTTGCACAGGCTCAGCGGCCATGTTGTCTAGTCATACACGGAAAGATTTGTCGGATATAATTTTCCCCTTCTATATTACCGCCCGCAGATTACAGATCTGGATATTATATTGTTTTATATTGAGTCACTGGAACAAATTGGTCATCGAGAGATATTTATACATCTGACACTTCCTGTGCGTGCACGCGCCCACCACTGAATTCTGGGAATTCCCCTCTTTGTAGGAGGTTATTTGAATGACTTGTGTTTTGAAATGGTGCGTTCAGATATTTCGGGCTGCCGTGTGTGTTTTACCAGTTCTATGCTTACCGGGGGAATGCTGGTAAAATGTTATGTTTTACAAGCCGTGCATTCTGAATATAGAGCCTGGTTTACCTATAGTTGGCACTTCCTGTTGCTCGCTGTACAGGGGCAGGGACTGAGTGTCTTATTACCATACCAAAATTGGGCTGCATGGGATGGGGGAGCATTCTTTAATACCCATCTCTGGTCACCTTTAATCAGCATGGAAGGATTGAGGACTGTCAGGTTTTGATTACCCTCTGCCTCCCCGTTGAGGTTTTCCTTCACTTCCTGTCAGGAAAGGAAGTGATGGAAGATCTCTCAATAAAAAACATTTTTTGTATTACAGGAAAGGGCTGGCACTTCTGACAATACTTTATTGCAGTCTGTGCTTTCCGGACTACTGCACCCCCCTAATTTTTTGTATCGGTGTCGCAGGGACAGGAAGTCGGGGAAAGCTCTAAAATGGGTTTATAAAATCATGAGACAGGATATAAACTTTCTAAATACTTATTCGAAGATAGAAAGAGACCTCTTTGGATGGAGTTCTGCTTTAATCTCTGAGCAGACCAATAGTCAGTTTATTTATTGACTTTTTCCCTTTTACTTCCTGTCCCAGAGACACAACAGGAAGTGAGGAAATATCTACTGAGAGAAACGGGGTCCCCATTGCAAGATTTACGTTCAACTCTTGTTCGGGTGGCAAATGTTGGATATTCCGTCACTTTCACAGTGACTAGGTTCACCAGGTTAAAAATGGAGGATGAATGTACCTAGAAGAGGCACTGATGGGTTCTAAGCCTTCACCACTCCATCATAATTAAAGGATTTGGCTGTACACATACTGTGGGGCATATTTATAAAGCAGTTAATGTGACTTTATGAAACATTCACTGATGGTGAATCAATCACTCATTTAGAACACATGCCCCTGAAAAACACACGTTCAGTGGATGTCAGATTCACTGCTTTATAAATATGCCCTTTTCAGTGATTTTGCCTTAGGGCAGGTTCACAGATCTGGTCCGGAAATTGGTGTGAACCTGCCCGCAGTTCCAGTGCTTTCCAGCCCAGACAAAATGAGACACGCAGTATTTTTCTGGTCTTGTCTGGACTGCGCTGGTGTGAACAGAGGCCAGAAATAGCATATGGATACATTAGGATGCATTTTGGGTCCGGAAACAATCTGGTCTGGTCTGGAGATGATCTGGATGTGGTGTGAATGGTCTCTTAACCCCTTCGTGACTGACGACGTACAGTGTACGTCGCCAGCATCGGGGCTGTTTAAACAGACTCCCGGTGACTTTTGCCGCCGGGACTCTGTTTAAACTTGTAGAGCCGACTGTCGGCTTTACAACAGAAGCGATCCTGGCGACTTACCTGTCGCCAGATCGCTTCTGCGTCCCGAAGAATAGGCAGAGCCAGCTGTCACTCACGCAGCTGGGCGGATCTCGTCATCGATGTCGGGATCCGCTCCGGCTGCGGCGTCTCAGTATACAAGCTATACTGAGCTTAGGGTGACGGGAGGACACTAGTTTGTGTTCTCCCGTTACCCTAAGGAGAACTGCGGGGAAAAGCCCTGACCCCATAGTTCTCCTTTTAAGGCCCGATGTTTTGCTGCATTGTCTGACTTTCCCGATCTGCTTAATTCCTAAACAGGTTCCAATATCGTTTGTGGACCGTGTGTATGGAGAGTCCAAGCTGGGGGGAAATGAGGTGGTCTCCTTCCTGAAAGGCCTCTTAACGCTGTTCGCAACCACATGACCCAAGAGCGTGGCGTCTACCTACTCAGTAATGCGCACCCTCCCCCGTAATGATATCTGACCAAATGGAGACTCAAATCAATATGGTTTTGTAGAAAAGGACTGCACAATTAATAAATAAATGCTTTTTATATAAGTGAGAATCTGTTTTTGTTCCTAAGCTGATAATACAATATGATGTGTCACATGCTAGGTAGAAATTCTGAAAGTTCCTCACTGTGGGGAGATATTTCCAAGCACACAGCCCACTTCCTGTCACTTTTTTTGTAGGAAAATATGGTCATGGTTTCCTGGAAAGCCATGTATATAAAATATATCGGTTTAGGTTAGGGATGCACCGATACTAGTATCGGTATCGGTGCCGATACCGAGTATTTGGGTGAGTACTCGTACTCGCCCAAATGCTCCGATACCTAGCACGAGTACTTCCTGTATCAGGAAGCCGGGCAGCACATTAGTACACGCTGCCCGGTTTCCTGATTGGCCAGGACAAGGATCCCTGCTCTCTACGTACTCGCCCAAATGCTCCGATACCTAGCACGAGTACTTCCTGTATCAGGAAGCCGGGCAGCACATTAGTACACGCTGCCCGGTTTCCTGATTGGCCAGGAAACGGCTCCATGCTCTCTCGTCACTTGTGATGAGAGAGCATGGAGCTGACTTTCCGGTCAATCAGGAAGCCGGGTAGCGTGTAATGACGCAGCGCCCGGCATTCTGATTGGCCCGGGAAGCCGGCGTCATGCTCCCTCGTCATCTCATGAATCATAATATTAAGAAAGTGACCTTAAAGCATTAGTTTGTATTGCTTTAGAAATTTTTTTACCTGTCCCTTTAAGAAAAAGTATCGGTAATTGGTATCTGTGAGTGCTTGGTCAAAAGTATCGGTACTCGTACTCTGTCTTAAAAAAGTGGCATCGGTGCATCCCTAGTTTAGGTAAAACCAGTTTTGGGGCTTATCCCTTATATTCTGAGTTTGGAATGTTGTAGTGAAGCATGTGCGCTATACCAGGGGTATAGAACACATGCTCATTATAGCGCTGACCCTGGATAGGCTGTATAGAGCAGGGGTAGCCAACCAGTGGTCCTCCAGCTGTGGTGGAACTACAAATCCCATGACGCATTGCAACATTCTCACAGCCACAGACATGACTCCCGGAGAGAGATGCATCATGGGATTTGTAGTTTCCCCACAGCTGGAGGGCCACTGGTTGGCTACCCCTGCTCTATACAGCCTATCCGGGGTCAGCGCTCTAATGAGGTCAGGTTGTCTTTTCTATGTTAGGCTGCTTGTGCACGAATGCTAAGTAGCTCCAAATAGGGTGACAACACTTTGCGCCTGTCTGTCAATTGTTCTCCTGTGTGGTCAGCTTGTCACGTGGGCTTCCTATGGAGACTACGGGCAAATGTGCCATTGCATGGGCATGGTCCATCAGCAAACCCGCCCTGAAAAATGTTGCGTAGCTGTCACTGGGGCGCATGTAGACAGGAAGTGGGTGCAGGCGATCGGCAGCACGGAGATACAACAAATGGTCAAAGGTGAATGTTATGTTGGGCTGCTTTTTAGGTCAGTTCCAAACATGGATTCCCGTACCGTAGGTGCATTTAATCTGAAAACTTTATATATTGCAGCTTATTGGTCCTTAGGGCCCGGTCCCACTTTCAAGTTGAAATGTCATTGTTTCCTATGGGACAGGTTCAGATCTTTGCACTGCAGTATATATGAGCTCATTGACATTTAGTTGGTGTTCACATGCACGATGCAACACATATGGAACCGCATAAATCCGCCCTTGCATGCGGTGTTTGAATTAATTTCCTTTTTTTCGCACGTTTGTTTATTTTCGCCTGGTGATCCTGTCCTGTTATACTTCCTGTCCTAGCGTGACAACGCTACTATACTAAAACTATGTATGACAGCGCTGGGCAAACTCGGGACTTCTAGCTGTAATAGGGACTACAAATCCCATGACCCAATGCAAGATTCTCACAAGCATAGCTCCCAGAGACAGGTGCATGAAGGGAATTGTAGTTTCACCACAGCTAGAGGGCCACAGTGCCCACCCCTGATGTAGGACCAAATAAGACACATTACTGGTAAGGGTTTACATATTCTAAGGCTGGGGGGTGGGCAAATTTCAGCCCTCCCGCTGTGGTGCAACTACAAATCCCATGATGGATTGCAAGACTTTTGACAGACATGACTCCCAGAGGCAGATGCATGATGGGATTGTAAATCGAATGAATCGTGATCTCAAACCAATGTTTATTTTGATCCTTTTGTGCAGGGGTCTTAAATGAATACATTTTGGTTGCTTCCATATGACGTTTGTGGATATATTCGGTATAAATACATTCTAAGAATGTAATAATTTAAGGTGATGGTGCTACAGAGGCTTTGCCAATATGCTAATCAGTTGGCCTGGCTGCCCTCAATGATGATGTGTTATCACCCTGCTAGAAGATCCCTGGGGGGTCAGAAGGAATCATTCGGGGGTCTGCGCTTGCCTCCATTGTGAAATAGGAGGAGTGGGTTGCTGTTTTTTTAAATCCTTTTTGAAATGTTATGTGGGGGTGATGGCAGGTAAACCCTTTGTGCCATGTTATAGGTCCGGTATACATGCATACAGGGCTTGGTGAAATGTCAATAACATATTGATGCTCTTAATAGTTTGTGCACCTCGGTGATTCCACCCTCTGCTGTTACCCCCGAATGTCACAGATAGGAAAGCTCCCGGGTGGCCATTTTATCCCTGCAGGCCGACGCAGTAAGTTTGCACAAGGGGGCTTTGCTATAACAGGAGACGGAACAGAGAAGGTGAAAATTAGGACGTGTCCTATTTTCTCTGCTTCATCTCCGAGCAACTGTCTCCAGGAGCTCAGGAAGCAAAACACGGCTCGTCCATGATGGTGTGTGTGTAGGAGCATAAAGCGGCATGAAATATAATTACTGGCTCCACAGCTCGTTAAAGTGCAAATATGGGAGACTGCAATTCCTCTGTTCATGGAAAATGCCAAACTGAGAACGCGAAAATAAGCGCTACTCAATCGGTATGTTCAAAATCAGCTGCAGCAAAACATGGCTATAGCTGCCTGTAATGTCACCTTCCTCTTTCATGTAACCAATGCATCAGTCTTATACCATAGCAAATATGACTATGGGGGGGGACAAGAAAACCCGATGTAGTTTCCATGCCATGAACAGTCAAGCACATGTGGAATAGTACTAGGTTAGCTGTTTGGCCTTAGCTCCTTTAACATGTTGCCGGTGAGCAGGGCTGAACCAAGTTAAAAAACAAGTTTCCTTCATGATGTAATCGCAGTGTCACCTTTGCTGTTGGGGCTCAGTCACACAATGTGCATCATAACACGTGGTATGATATTGGTGGCAGTAACGCAATGTAGTGCGCTGTATAAGTGGATTTGCGTGTTTTCTTGCACCCCAATGCATATACAGGACAGTAATCTCCCCATTATCCGCCATTCAAGCAACTAGAACCCTAATGGAACCAGAAAAAAAAAAATTGAGGACTTATGTCCTCAATTTCTTTTCCAGTTGCTTGATAGACGTGCACACTAAAAAAAAAAAAAAATTGCATACTAAATTTTAGTTATTCTCTGTTTACATTTTGCTGCGGCCGACGGCAAGATTCCCCAGCTGGCAGGTGAATGTGAACAACGGGCAGGGGGCGTGTGCAATAGCCAGGATACAGTCAGCGAACCAATAGCACTCAAAACCACTTTCTTCATGTAGTAGTTTAGGGTGCTGCGGCTGTCGCTTGTTCTGCCTGATGAAGGGGATCCTTCTTTGAGACCCCGAAACGTTGCACGGAGTGTATTTATGCTGCATTAACGTCAATAAACAGACGTTTATGATGTGCCGTTGGAGTGTCTCTCTCCTTACTGTGTGCAATAGCCAGCCTGCTATTGGCAGTGGCAATTAAAAATAGCCAATAGCAGAATCTAGCCGACGGATGAATGGGGGGGGTTTGATGCTTGAGCGTTAATAGTAGCTCTCAAGAAACTACAGTTATCCGGCATCTACCAATCCCCCTGGGTACGGGATAACTGTGAGTTTACTGTATGTAGTGCTTGGCAGTCCAGTACAACACCATCATGAAAATCTGTCAGTTGCGAAGTGCTGCGTTTTCAGGGTTAGAATAGGACCTGTTTATTATTTTTCTGTTCCAGCATTGGGGTACATTTATGGTCCATTCAAAATGAACAGGCTGCCTAACCAACCTGCCTTAAAACCCAAGTCTTGGGGGACAAAAAACTTGCCCCTACACTGCAAGGGTTAACTGCTCCTTTTTGTCTAGGGTTTGTTTTGAAAGTCTTTATCTTTCCTGATCCCCGGTATTTGGCAATGGCCCCTCTCCCCTACGCTCCACCTTGTGTGTTGCCCCTCAGCATCCTCCTGTATAATGCAGGGCTATGTACCCTACATTAGATGTGATATCAGTGGGCCCCCGACCACTGGCAGCA